GCAGTTTGCTAAGGCAGACTGGACCCTATTTACCCTCAGTGCTGCTCTCTCTGACCTCTCCCTTCTGCCTCTCTCTCGCGCTCTCCTCCTTTTTCATGACACTGTCTTCAACGCTGCCCTCCGCTCTATTCCTCGCTCTTCCTCTCGGGGTCCACGGAAGTGCGTTCCCTGGTGGAATGCGGACTGTGCTCGGGCTGTCCGCTGTAAGCGTGCAGCCTGGAAGAGGCACCGCCGTAGGCAGACGACCAATTCTTTTCTTTTCTTTCGGAAAGCGAGTGCGGTGGCCCGTAGGGCCATCCATACGGCTAAACGTGAATGTTGGGCATCTTATGTCTCAACAATTACGTCCGAAACCCCTCTGGCCCAGATCTGGAAGCGTATCCGCAAGATAGCGGGTAAGTTCGTTCGCGATGTTTCACCGGTCCTTCACCTCCATGATACTCTTGCGGCGGACCCGTTGCAGGTCGCTTCCGAACTGGGTTCCCACTTTTCTTCTGTTAGCTCTGGTCTTCATCTTCCCCAATCTTTCCTTCTTCGTAAACCTGTCCTTGAGTCTCGTCCTTTAGATTTCTGCACTCATCTTCAGCTTCCCTATAATGATCCCTTCTCTCTCTCTGAACTTCGTTCTGCCCTGGCCCTCTGCGGTTCTACAGCGGCGGGCTCCGATGGTATTCATTATGAGATGCTTCGCCATCTCCCTCCGAGCACGTCTCAGTATTTACTAAGTCTGTATAATCGGATCTGGGAGTCGTCGTCAGTCCCTGAGGACTGGTTCGATGCCGTTGTCCTCCCTCTTCGCAAACCGGGGTCTCTGGGTACTTCCCCTAAGGACTTTCGCCCTATTGCTCTCACAAGTTGTGTCTGCAAACTCTTTGAACGTATGGTTAACGTTCGTCTGATGTGGTTCCTGGAACACCATCACCTCCTCTCCCCTTCTCAATTTGGTTTCCGCAAGTGCCGCAGCACGACAGATGTCCTGGTGAACTTGAGGTCTATATTCGTACTGCTTTTGCTGCGAAGACCTCCGTTGTTGCCGTCCTTTTTGACCTGGAAAAGGCTTACAACACCACTCGGCGTTATCATATCCTATCTCAACTTCATTCTTTTGGCCTTCGTGGTCATCTCCCTCTCAAAATCTCCCTCTCTCTCCGCAGCTTCCCCTCTCGTCGTTCCTTTCGGGTGCGCCTTGGTACCGCTCTCTCTCCCTCTTTTCAGCAATACGAAGGTGTGCCCCAGGGTAGTGTTCTGAGCACTACTCTTTTTCTGGTTGCCCTCAATGGTCTTCTTTCCTCTCTTCCTTCTGGTGTCTTCTCCGCTCTCTATGTCGATGATCTTACCCTTTGTTGTCAGGGTGATGATTCGCCTCTCCTTCAACGCCGGCTTCAACTTGCAATTGATGCCGTGTCGTCTTGGGCCACAGATCATGGCTTCAAGTTCTCTACTTCTAAGACTTGTGCCATGACTTTTACGCGGAAACGGGTTGTTCTTCGTCCCTCTTTGTCACTTTATGGTCATCCCCTTGAATACAAAGATTCCGCGAAGCTTTTGGGGTTATTCCTTGACACTCGTTTGTCTTGGTCTCCCCATATCTCTTACCTCTGTGTTGAGTGCTCTAAGGCCCTTACCCTCCTTCGGGTCTTGTCCCATACTTCTTGGGGGGCAGATAGGCGCACTCTCCTTGCTTTACATTCCACTCTCGTCCTGTCTAAGCTCGATTATGGTTGCCCTGCTTACTAGTCTGCTTCTCCTTCTACTCTTCGCCGTCTTGATGCTTTGCACCATACTGGGTTGCGCCTCAGTTCTGGTGCCTTTCGTTCGACTCCCATCCTTAGCTTGTATGTTGACACTGGCTTCCTGTCTCTCCAGGACCGCCGTGATCGCTACTGTCTTCGCTATCTTGCGCGGTCCTTGCAACATCCTTCCTCTCGCCTCTGTCGTGCTTTAACTTTTACCCCTCCTGCGGTTCCTGTTCCTCTTCACCACCTCCCTCTTTCTGTCCGGTTATCTCGCCTACAGGATTCTCTTTCCGTTCGTATTTCTGATGTTTCTCTTCGTGTTGTTCCTTCTTTGCCCCCGTGGAGGGTCCCTCTTCCGCGGTTTTGTACATCCCTGACCCGTATCACTAAAGCTTTTACCCCTCCTACGGTTCTAAAACGCCTTTTCCTCGAGCACTTTTCTTCTCACTCCCGCTCCGTTTCTGTCTTCACCGATGGGTCTAAGTCAGCGGACGGTGTTGGCTACTCTGTTGTTTTTCCTGATCGCACTTATATGTGTCGCTTGCCTCCGGAGACTAGCATCTTTACAGCGGAACTTTATGCTATTCTCTATACTCTTCGTCTCCTGCTTTCTCGTTGTCAGTCTTCCTTTGTAGTTGTTGACTCTCGTAGTGCCCTCATGGCTCTCGGGTCCATTAATCCGGTTCATCCAGTAGTTGTCGAGATCCAGCATTGGCTGTTTCTTGTTCACAGTAAATTTAAGTCGGTTGAGTTTTGTTGGGTTCCCAGCCATATTGGTGTGTCTTTAAATGAGCGTGCGGATGCTGCCACCAAGGAAGCTGTCCGCTCTTGTCCCATCTCTCGTAAAGGCATTCCGTATTCTGACTTTTACCCGGTTATCCATTCCTCAGTCCTTACCCATTGGCAGGCTTCTTGGTCGTCTCTTACTGTTAACAAGCTTCGTACTCTTAAATGTTGTGTTTCCTCGTGGCCGTCCTCCTTCCACCGTAACCGGCGGCGGGAAACAGCTCTGGCGAGGTTGCGTATTGGCCATACTCGCTTAACCCATGGTCACTTGATGGAGCGCCGCCCTGCTCCTTATTGTCCTAGTTGCATTGTCCCTCTTACGGTCGTGTATGTCCTTCTTAAATGTCCCGACTTCCAGGACGAGCGTGTGTCTTGCTTTCCGACCGCCCCTCGCGGTCACCTGTCCCTCGATAGAATTCTTGGTGACTCTGATACTTTTGATATCGTTCGCCTTATGCGTTTTTGTTCTCGTATTGGCAATTGGCATCCTTGGTGATATTTAGCGCCCTCTGATTATTTTGCGTATTTGATGGTGCTACGTAGCCTTCCCGGTTTGGTGCCTTCTTTTGATAATTACTTACTACTTCACATGTCTCAAACCTATCCTAAATGATTTTGAAAGGATGAATTTACTTTATCAAAAGATGAACCAGATCAGTATAGCCTTCACACTGTCTTAGAAAACTTTACTCTTGGAATACTCAGAAGAATCTTTCGTCATCATCATGCAAAGCTTCATGTTAATTTGGACTACAATTCTATATATCTGCCCCTGGAGAAAGTATTCCCTGGAGTATAGGGAACTACTTCACATGTTTCAAACCAATCCTAAATGATTTTGAAAGGATGAATTTACTTTATCAAAAGATGAACCAGATCAGTATAGCCTTCACACTGTCTTAGAAAACTTTACTCTTGGAATACTCAGAAGAATCTTTCGTCCTCATCATGCAAAGCTTCATGTTAATTTGGACTACAATTCTATATATCTGCCCCTGGAGAAAGTGGACTTTGGTTACGAATTTTCAACACTTCTGGCCACTAACAGACAAAACAATTTTACAACCCAGAAAAAGTTTCAAAATGTTCAAGAAAGATGCGATAATTTTTTAATGAAAGCTTGCAAATAGTTTTTTTCTCGTATTCTAAGTAATGTTGAAACTATAAAAAAAAGGTGAAAAAATCTGTTACCTATCATATGCTTTAGCTTACATGGCCACCATTTTCGGAACTTCCGTTAGTATTAGCTGACCAATCTCGGAAGAGATTACAACCTCTGAAGGCTTTGGCATGCTGTGGAAAGGGAGTGGGAGTCCCTGTGCTACGAATGTTATACTTGAGTACTGTAAGATCTCTTATTGATTATGCTGCACCTGTCATTTCTTGTTTTGGTAAAGGTAGGATGGGCAAGTTGGAGAAGGTACAAAATGAAGCAGTGAGAATTATCTTAGGATGCCCAAGAAATGCTATGATTGAGATAATGAGGATGGAGTTGAATCTGCAGAGTATTGGGGATAGAATTTCAGAGATAAATGTAGCCTCTGCCATTAGATTAATGAGAGGTGGGGGAGCTAATGAATTAATCCTCTCGGTTCAAAAGGTGGGAAGTAGTGAACAGTGTATGATGAAGAAGAGAGTATATATGAATAAATTATGTTATAATGTTATAAAGTATGATGTTATTACAGAGTGTATTGCTGTGCCCAAGAGAAAATTGACACCACCATGGGAGGATTGTAATGTAGATGTAGTAATTACTCCCTTGCATAAGAAAAAAAGTATGTATGAAATAGGAGAGCTGAGGGCAACATATGATTGTATAATTAGAAAACTGCCTACGGAAAACACTCTACATGTATATTGTGATGGGTCAGTAGCAAGGGATGGGAAGGCAGGATGTGGAATCTTGATCAGGGAGTACACTGACATCGGCACTGTAGATACTCAAGTTCAAGTTCAAGTATGTTTATTGAGATAAGCAATAAATACATCTCAAAGGGATAGAGTAGCTTAGGCTATTTCTACCCCCCTCTACTTCAAGTCCCTCAAGGGGCGCACAAATTCAGTGAGTACAAATAGACATATAACAGTACAAGAATCCCATTTAACATTGCATACAGCAAGTACAGCATATAATTGTTACATTCTTGGGGCAAAATTCTTGTAGCTCCTAAGTATACTGTCTATTATACCATTATCACACATCCAAACAATTTGATGTGGTACACTATTTATTTCCTTATTTCTATATTTTTCAATAAGGTGACACTAATACATAATGTTCTAAGGTGTGGGCGTACGTCATACTACATAATTTACACTCCTTATCTTTTTCACTGACATCAACACCGTATTGCCAGATATATTTGTATCCTAATCGTAATCTCATGTAAATTGAATCCTTCCAATTAGACTTTCCTTTACCATAAGTGAAGGACGAATTTGTATTTATTATTGAATAATTCTTAAGTGTGTTACTACTGTCCACCATTGCCATTCTCTTTATCATTTCTTCACCCTCCTGAACCACCTTGAGTCTTGTTTTTATTTGTTTCAAGGTTAACTGACATACAACATCAACAAGAGTTTTTTTCAGATCAGAGTTTTTTCAATAAAGGGGATGTTTTCACATCCCCTTTATTGCCACGTACGCTCTCCGTTAGCCCAACTTGCGACATCTATTATATATGGGAAAAATCATGAAAAGTATCATTTTTAATTAAAAGGCCTTCCCTGTTCTCAGTTTGGATTTAACCTTATTAGCTGTCTAAAAATCGAAGCGCATATAAGGAATTCTAAACAGTAAAATACATTTACTAATGTATAACCTAAAAACTTTAATAATTCAAGTCACAAGTTTATGGCTATTAATATCAGTTGAAATGACACTAAATAACTACTGTACCTTAAGAGCATTTTTGAAATGATATGTAGCACGATCTGTGTCTTTTCCAGCACGCTTAGTGAAGAGTAACACCTTCTCGTACAGAAAAATGTGTCTCTGAGCAGGTTTGAGCCGTAGCTCTCTCAGTCCCTTCTTGCTCTCGTTCCACACGCTGAAGGGGCCCTGCATGAGCAACTTACCGAGGTCTGCAAAGTTACCCTGGAAGATGATGCAAGAAAAATGTATTACGTACAATAAAATCACTAGAACGTGATGTATCCAAGAGAATACTGAAGCTGTAGGACTGAACAAGAATTGTATTAAAATCACAGAAATTACTACAAAGAATAAGAAAAAATCCTTTAAAATGGAGTATTGACAATGAATGATCCTAAAGAAATAACCCAATATTTCTTTAGGATAAACTTTCAAGAAAAATAGAAACCGAAAGTCGCTCTTCTAATTATTCTGTACTCAACCAGGATCACGTTCAATATTTACATACTAGTTTATTGACTACCTAATCATTCCTAAACAGCTGCAAACTTTCATATACAGTACTTATTGCCTGTAATTGCTGCAGTACACATAACATCCGCAGATATTTAACCGACAAGAGCTACGAGGAGAGGTTAGAGGCATTAGATATGCCAATACTATACTAGAAGACAGAAGAAACAGAGGCGATATAATCACTACATACAAAATAGTAATGGGTATAGATAAAATTGATAGGGAAGAAGTCCCAAGACCTGGAATTTCACGAACAAGAGATCACTGATTTAAACTAAGCAAAGCTGCCAAAGAAACGTAAGAAAATTCACTTTCACAAACAGCATGGTAGACGGTTGGAACAAGTTAGGCAAGGTGGTGATAGAGGTCAAAACAGTCAGTAGTTTCAAAGCGTTATATGACAGTGTTGGCTAGACGGGACACCACGAGTGTAGCTCTCATCCTGTAACTACACTTACGTAATTAATTATTTCCCTGTGTGTTACTCTTGAGAAACTTGACGTCCCTTACAGGATATTGAATACAAGATTTCTAAGCTACACATGGCCATTTTACTCCCTATAATATGATTATTAATAATTATTTTGGTTTCACTCTAAGAACTAGCAAAAAGTAATTTTTCTTCAATGGAGCTTCAGTACCCTTTCAACTCCTCCCCCCCCCCTCTCCTTCCCACCCCCCTCTCCTCCCCCCCCCCTCTCCTTCCCACCCCCACCCCCCCCCCCCCCACACACACACAGTCAGTAGTTTCAAAGCGTTATATGACAAAGAGTGCTGGGTAGACGGGACACCACGAGCGTAGCTCTCATCCTGTAACTACACTTAGGTAATTACACACACACACACACACACACACACACACACACACACACACACACACACACACAAGAGGCAATGTATCGGACTGGAGAAATGTCAAGTGGAGTACCACAGGGTTCAGTTCTTGCACCAGTGATGTTTATTGTGTACATAAATGATCTACCAGTTGGTATACAGAATTATATGAACATGTTTGCTGATGATGCTAAGATAATAGGAAGGATAAGGAATTTAGACGATTGTCATGCCCTTCAAGAAGACCTGGACAAAATAAGTAGATGGAGCACCACTTGGCAAATGGAATTTAATGTTAATAAATGTCATGTTATGGAATGTGGAATAGGAGAACATAGACCCCACACAACCTATATATTATGTGAGAAATCTTTAAAGAATTCTGATAAAGAAAGAGATCTAGGGGTGGTTCTAGATAGAAAACTATCACCTGAGGACCACATAAAGAATATTGTGCAAGGAGCCTATGCTATGCTTTCTAACTTCAGAATTGCATTTAAATACATGGATGGCGATCGATATACTAAAGAAATTGTTCATGACTTTTGTTAGGCCAAAGCTAGAATATGCAGCTGTTGTGTGGTGCCCATATCTTAAGAAGCACATCAACAAACTGGAAAAGGTGCAAAGACATGCTACTAAGTGGCTCCCAGAACTGAAGGGTAAGAGCTACGAGGAGAGTTTACAAGCATTAAACATGCCAAAACTAGAAGACAAAAGAAAAAGAGGTGATATGATCTGTGACGGTAAAGCGTTGGTGTTCGGCTGTTTCAAAAGCTAGGGGCAGGGCCTCGTCACATTAAAGAAAAAAAAGAGAAAAAGCTGGAACTTTCGTCTGTGGTAAGGTAATGGGAAGACACACAAAACACAAGTAAATTTAACAATGAAATTTTAATTACGTTAGAAAAACGAGACATGAATAAAATTAAGCATAAAATATACAAGACAAGTCAACAAACAAAATAATAAGAATAATCACTGGCAAATGAAAAGTTACGTTAAGACAAGTGAGTTATAGCAAAATAAATAATAATGATGCTGGAATATTGGCTTCGAGCTGCCACCTCCCTTAGTACACGAAAGCCAAGGCTTAGTCTACCAATGAGAGATGTCAACTGCAAGGAGCACTGGAATATTCTGACTATTCTGGGCCACTGCAGCCCAGACAGCAACTTGTGGCGGAGGGTGGAGGGCAGGTGCGACGGGACACCAGCCAATCCTACCTTACTGACAGGCTCCAATATGTTTCTGTGAATAATACAATTTCTCCCACCCTACCCATCAACATTGGTGTTCCTCAGGGCAGCATACTTGGCCCTCTCCTCTTTCTCATCTACATTAATGACCTTCCAAATGCCTCCCAACACCTCAAACCAATTCTATTTGCTGACGACACAACCTTCATTTACTCCAGTCCTGACCCCCTTGCTCTAAATGCCACAGTAAATACTGAGCTAAATAAAGTCCATCATTGGCTAACTGCCAACAAACTCACCCTTAACATTGACAAAACTTTCTATATTCTGTTTGGCAATAAATCCTCTAATCAAATAAATCTCAAAATAAACAATACCCAAATTTGTAACAAATTAGATGGCAAATTCCTTGGCATTCTCATTGACCACAAGCTGAATTTCCAGGGACACATTCTAAATATATCAAAAGAAGTTTCAAAAACTGTGGGCATTCTTTCTAAGATCAGATATTATGTACCACGCCCTGCCCTGGTGACTCTCTATTACTCCCTTATCTATCCATATCTCAACTATGGTATTTGTGCTTGGGGCTCTACTACCCAAAATCACTTACGTCCTCTAATTACTCAACACAAAGCTGCTATTAGGACAATATCCAACTCTGGCCCCAGACATCACTCGGTACCCCCTACTCAAATCTCTGAATATGTTAGACATTAAGTCACTGCACATTCTCTCATGTGTGTTATACATATATAAAACGCTAAACTATAATGCCAATCCTGATCTCAAAAGCTTCATAGAAGGTTGTAACAGAACCCATGAGCACCACACCAGAAATAAATACAGTTTTGATATTCCTAGAGTACGACTTAATCAAACTAGAAATGCTCTACAAATCAAGGGGCCCAGAATGTGGAATGACCTTCCCAACCATGTTAAAGACTGTACCTCTCTCAACCAGTTTAAGATAAAAACGAAGCTATACCTAATAAATTCCCTGTAACCTACCTTACCCTTCTATTGTCAAACAATGTCTGTTTTTTTTAAAGAGCGCTGTTTGTCGACATAATTGTATTTGTGCTGCTTTTTCAGCTATGTTTTCATTTCTTGTTTTCATTCTACTCATTATGCTCAATTAGTATTAAGCTTGTCATTTAAGTTTATCATGCCCGAAACGCTTTGCGTAATAGTGGCTTTAGGCATTGTATGTACTAGCTCTACCTATAAGTCAACCAATCTTTGTAAAAATTTATTGTATGTATGTACCTTACCTAAATAAACATTTTATTTTTTTTTTTTTAATCAGTGACAGGCAGGCAATGGACAAGCAGTTTGCCGGTTTACGGTGGCGGTGGCGAGCAGGTGTGCCGGTGTGCTGGATACGTTTTGCTCTCTGGGCAAAACGTTTTGGAGATACTTGCTGGATATATCTTCTATATTATCTGTTGTTGTTACGTACTTTGAAGGGAAGAGCAGGCTCAATCTCTCTTAAAAGAGATTATCGTCACAACTCTCCCCCGAAGCCTGCGGTTCTGGAAGAAGTACGTCGTCATGTGGTGGAGTAATAGGCGGAGTTGCTTCTACTTCATAAACTCTGGAGAGGGCATCGGCTATGATGTTGTCAGAACCCTTGATATAGCGGATCTCCAGGTTGAAATCTTGTAGATATAAAGCCCATCGTAGAAGACGCTGGTTAGTGAATTGGGCTTGATGTAAGAAGCGGAGAGGGTTGTGGTCTGAGAAGATGGTGGTAGACCTGGCACCTTGTAGGTATGGAGCGAAGTGTTGGAGATTCAGGACGATGGATAGTAGCTCCTTTTCAATAGTGCTGTAGTTCCTCTGGTGGGGTTTCAATTTGTAGCTGTAGTAGCTGACAGGTAGAACCTCCTCGCCTCGTTGCTGCATCAGGACACCACCAACGCCAGTACCACTGGCGTCGACATGAAGGACGAAAGGCTTGGTGATATCTGGCGAGGCGAGAATGGGATTAGAACAGAGGAGGAATTTGAGTTGTTCGAAAGCAACGGTTTGCTGCATGGTCCAATTATACCGTTGCTTGGGACTGGTTAACATGATTAAAGGCGTTGCGACTGTACTGAAATTTCTCACAAACCTACGGTAGTAGGAGGCAAGACCAAGGAAGCGCAGGAGCTGCTTCCTGGTGGTAGGCTGTGGATAATGCTGGATGGCTTGAGTGTGTGAGTCTAACGGAGCTAGGCTGCCACTCCCAATTACATGACCCAGATAACGCACTTTACCTTTCGCGAAGGTGGACTTGCTCAGGTTGATGGTGAGGCCGGCTGTCAGGAGCTTGGCGAACAGTCGTCGCAGCTGGAGCAGATGTTCACTCCAGGTGTTGGATGCTACGACGATATCATCCAAATAGGCGTACGTGTTATCCAAGCCCTGGATGACACGGTTGACAGCTCTCTGAAAGGTGGCCGGGGCATTACATAGTCCGAAAGGAAGGCGTTCATATCTGAAAAGTCCAAAAGGAGTGATAAAGGCAGATATTTCTTTGGCTCGCTCCGTTAAGCACACTTGGTAATACCCCTTAAGCAAGTCCACTTGGGACAAGTACTGGGCATTACCAATGGCGTCAAGAATGTCATCTATCCTTGGCAAGGGGTATGCATCCTTGACAGTCACATTATTTAACTTACGATAGTCAGTGCACAGTCTCACCTTACCTTGGGGTTTTGGCACCAAGATACAGGGTGAGGCCCAGGGGGACTCACAAGGTGTAGCCAGTCCATGATCCAAGAGGTACTGCACCTCAGCACGCATGACTTCCTTCTTGCTAGGGCTGATTCGGTAGAAGGGTTGACGAATCGGCCGGGTGTCGGGGAGCAGTTGGATGTCGTGCTGGGTAACATTACACTCTTGGGGGTCATCTCGGAACAACTCCTGATGTTCTTTGAAGATCTTGACGAGAGATGCACTATGATTGTCCTGAAAATAGTTTGGAAGATCAGTAAGGATTTCCGAATTAGAAAGCGCTGACTCCTTGTCAGTGCTTTCGGGAGGAGAAGCAGGGAAGGTCTCACTGTGGATGTATGGTTCTGTAAAGGCAGAGTAGTTAAGCATGACAGTGGGAGGAGTACCGTTATATAGCTTCAGGAGGTTGACGTGGCACAGCTGGGTCTTCCGCCGCCTATCTGGAGTCTCTAGAACGTAGTTATGGTTGTTTCTGCACTCCTTGATGCGGTAGGGTCCTGAAAACTTGTTTTGTAAAGGAGAACCTGGGATAGGGAAGTAAGCAAGTACGAAGTCTCCCGGCTTAAATTTTCTTACTTTGCTGGTCTGGTCGTAATGAGTCTTCATCCTCTCCTGTGCTTTCAATAGATTATCTTGGGCAAAACTGTGGACTCTCTCTAGAATGTGTTGAAGGTTTTGAAGAAACTGGGGCACATTCTGATGCTCACTGAAGGTGGCATCACGTAGAGAGTCTTTGAAAGCCTTGAGGGGAGTACGGCACTTACGTCCGTAGAGCATCTCATAAGGAGATACTCCTAGGGACTCATTGGGAAGACTTCTATCGACTGAGGGTGTACCCTCTCGTTTATTATCAAGCTACTCCTTTGACCATGTGTTGCATGGCGGTGGACTATTTACATTTATGATCGTTAGTTTATCATCCTGATTGCAGATCTCTAGTGCTATTATGTCAACTTCTCGTGGATTGGCAAACATTTCGCTTACCTTTAGATGTTCTTCTTGCACAGCAACGCCACCGCCTTTCCTAATTTTCCTGTCTTGTCTCCAAACTGAGTAGCCTCTTGGGAATATGACCTCATTTAAAATATCATCTTCAAGTTTCGTCTCCATGAGTGCAACAATGTCTGGCGTCTGCAGCTGTATTACATCACTTAACTCCAGTATCTTTGATCTCACTCCATCTATGTTGGTGTATGCAATTTTCAGGAACACGTTCCCCCTCTCCTTATTCTTCACTCCCCCCTTTCTCTAGCGATTTTGTTGGTTTGCCTTTTTGTATCATTTTACTGGTCTGCCTACCCTTATTACTTTGTAGAAAAAAAAAAGAATTGATTTCTTTTTCATTCCTGTCCTAATTTAGACGTTTTGCCTCGGCGAGGTTCAGTTTCAGCTTCTATGTCTTCTTTTGAAATATTTTGTCTTAACGACCATAATGTCCCTTTCCTCATCACTTTATAATTTTCTAGCATTCCTTGGTACTTCTTCCATCTGTTTTGTACCGTTTAGGGTGATCCTCAAAGGTTGATCTTTCCCTTTACGTACTTGCCAATCCTCCTGTAGTCACAGACATTCTGTATGGTAGTAAGATCTTTCCGCGATTGCTGTAACTTTCTTGATTTTTTTATACATACATTATATGAAAATCGAGAGGAAAATAAACACAGACATAGACTCGCTATCACTTCAAGACGATCTTAATAGGGTTTTGAAATGGTCAAAAGATTGGCAGATGCAGTTTAATGCTGGCAATTGTAAGATTTTAAGGCTAGGTAATGATGATACGGTTACAAAATATGAGCTAGATTTAAGGGAGCCGGTCGGCCGAGCGGACAGCACGCTGGACTTGTGATCCTGTGGTCCTGGGTTCGATCCCAGGCGCCGGCGAGAAACAATGGGCAGAGTTTCTTTCACCCTATACCCCTATTACCTAGCAGTAAAATAGGTACCTGGGTGTTAGTCAGCTGTCACGGGCTGCTTCTTGGGGGTGGAGGCCTGGTCGAGGACCGGGCCTCGTATGGGCCACACTAAAGCCCCGAAATCATCTCAAAATCAAAATCATCTCAAGATAGATGGTGTTGAGATTGCGAAGTCGGATTGCAAAAGGGATCTGAGTTATGATTAGTAAAAAATTAAAACCAAAAAAATCAATGCAAAAATGTTCGTAATAAGGCAAATAGGACACTGGGATTTATTAATCGAAGCGTTACTAATAAGACACCTGGTGTTGTTCTTCAGTTATTTCTTGCTCTGGTTAGGCCCCATTTAGATTATGCAGTTCAGTTTTGGTCGCCATACTATAGAATGGATACAAATTCACTAGAATACGTCCAGCATAGGATGACAAAGTTAATCCCCCAAATTAGGAACCTCTCATATGAAGAAAGATTTACAAAGCTTAAATTACATTCGCTGGAAAGGCGAAGAGTTAGGGGTGACATTATGGAGATGTTTACTGGTTCGGTAACAGGATTGTTGATTTGTGGAACCAATTACCACGTAACGTGGAGGTGGGGTCCCTTGATTGTTTAAAGCGTGGGGCTGGACAATACGTAATAGTGGCTTTAGGTATTGTATGTACTAGCTCTATCTATAAATCCAACATCATCTATGTATGTATTTTTCCTGAATAAACATTTGAATTTGACATGTATATGAGTGGGATTGGGTGGTTATAAATAGGAGCTGCCTCGTATGGGCCAATAGACCTTCTGCAGTTACCTTAATTCTTATATAACTACTAGCACTAAAGTGTTACTGGTCCTCAGGTTCAGGAGCCTGTACACCAATTAATTAACAGCTGAGGGGGGCGGGAGCAAATAGTCGAAGCTCATTTCCGTAAGCACAACTAGGGGAGTCCATCGGCATGACCATTTGGGTGTACGCCATCTATGTTTTGACAGCAGTACTACCAGTTTACCCCCACGTTATTCGATGATCACGTGAGAGAGCACGGGTGTTATGGTCAGTTGCTATTCTATATATGATTCTAGACAACGTAGGTGATTTGTGGCTTGTTGCGGGCAGAAGTCAGCAGTAACTCTTTAACCAGTGTTGGAAGAAGACGTATAGACCAGTGCGGTTGACCAGCGAGTAAGTTGAGTATTTTTTTGTATTTAGGTGCGTCTTTGTAATAGTCATTTGTTAATTAATTTTAGGTTGGGTTAGTTACAAGTTATAATAGTTAAGTTAATATGTTTTGGGTTTTACTTGAAGATATAATAAAATAGAGGGGGGGGGAGAGGAGGGGATTGGATTGGATTTGTATAGGTAACACTAAATTACTGCCAGTTTGGCTTCCGGTCCCAAAAGAGCACCAACGATGCAATCATTAGTCTCCTTGACGTTATCTATTCAGCCCTTGACAAAAATGAGTTTCAGATTGGACTCTTCATTGACCTAAGAAAACCCTTTGATACTGTTTATCACAACTACCTCTTACTTAAACTCTAGCATTATGGAATCGGAGGCCTTGCCCTTGACTACATCCGATCCTATCTTGGTGACAGACACCAATATGTAACCATCCATGATACAACTTTTTCCACTCTACCAATTACCGTTGGAGTGCCACAGGGCAGCATCTTGGGACCTCTTCTATTTCTTGTATATATAAACGATCTGCCTAATGTCTAATATTCTCAAACCTATATTGTTTGCTGACAATACTACCCTTATCTATTCAAACCTCAACCCACATAAACTATAAATGTTGTAAATAATTAATTAAAAAAGTCCCCTTATGAATGTCAATGAACTAACATTAAACATTGAAAAGACTTGCTACATCTTATTTGGAAGCAAATCATCAAATGCAATTCAGCTACAGATAGACAACATTAACATCAGTAATAAAAATGGCAAGTTTCTTGGCCTATTCCTAGACAAGAGACTCAACTTCAGCACCCACATTCAACACATAACCAAGTCTCTAAGACAGTTGGTATACTCTCCAAAATTGGATATTATGTTCCTAACTCTGCTCTCCTCTCACTATATTGTGCAGTAATCTACCCCTATCTTAATTATGGTATCTGTGCATGGGGGGTCTACCACTGCAAACCACCTTAAGACCATCAAACAGCAAAAATCTGCTATCGGAATAATAACTATGCTTTCAGACAACACTCGGCTCCCTTGTTTAAATCCCTAAACTTGCTAAATATTAACTCCCTCCACACTCTTGTGTCGACTACATTTACAAAACCCTGTTCTTAAATGCAAACCATGCTCTGAAACTCTCCCTGGACAGATGTAATAGGACCCATTATCACCACACCAGAAATAAATCTTTGATATCCCCAGGGTCAAACTTAATCTGTGTAAACACTCTATGTAAATTAAGGGACCTAGTCTATGGAACTCGCTCCCTAGTGAATTGAAAAACAAACTTTTGCCTTATTTAAAAGCAAAACCAAAAAGTACCTAACTTCATCTTAGTTTCCTACACTGAGCTTTAAATTTGCTCTGTACCTAGTGTTACCCATCTCCTAATTTTTATGTAATATCAAACCTTATCATTGTGTTCATTGCTTTCTTCTTTTGTGCTAGCCATATGCTGTATTGTGACTACCAATTTTTGTCAACTACCATTCAAGCTGTCATTGCAATCAATCTTAGCTACCTATGTGCTTTAATATACTGTACCTACAATTTTCTCTAGTCTTTTTTTAATTTCATGTAATGTTATCATTTTTTTGTCTATAAATTTTGCAAGTATTTACCTCCCTTAAAATTTTCTTAGATTAAGGACCTGCCCGAAACGCTGCGCGTGCATATTGCTGCAAATATAGGGAACGGTAGTCAAAAATATTTGAATTGTGTAAATAACGTCAATATTGGCTTTACAAGACTGTAATTACCATATTTGTATCCTCTCATTCCTTATGTACATTCTTGTATATGCATAAATAAATTTGCAGGTGGTAAATTCTCCTTCGGCTGCTGCAGCTCTCCAGCCCAGGGCGTTGACTGGCTAGTCTTCAATTGCCTCCCAACATGGTAATGAGGTCCTGAGCTGATGTGATCTGTGGCGAAGAAATAGTTGCCTGAAGTAGCGTATGGCACCCTTTCTAACCAGCAGCTGGCACCAACTTTGGGCAACATCAGAGTGGACAAGGCCCAGATCCTGTGGGAGACCTTCTACACTAACATGTTAAAGGTACAGAATCTTAATCACACCCCCCTTCCCTGCCAGTTTCAGTTCCCCTCCCTCTTTTACATTCCCATAGCTTGAAAAGCTTTATCTTAAACAGCAGCATAGTTTTGTTAAAGAATGAATTTTTGGCTGGGATTAAATATCTTCTAAAGCAGAAAATTAGTGTCCATGCTTTGGTATTAGTTGGGTGAATGAGATTAATAAGGTTGTATAACTACCTTTAAGTTTACAAAAAAAAAAAAAAAAAACTTAAACTGTAGCTCCTACTTGTGCAATTTTGATTGGTGGACTGTGACTTGGTCCTTATCAATCTACTGCAAGGTAATATTTTTGGCATTTATGGATTATGCTGCACATGATAAGCTTCCAAGTTTTCAAGTAACTTGCAAGTCTTCAAACTACTTGTTCGTGTGTTTCTTATAAGGTCTCGTAGCCTTCGCTTTACTCAAACGAGTAATAATATCCTTATGACAGTCGGGCCAAAAAATAGAATATTGGGTTCTCTCCTGACATGTTTAGTAATTTGTTAGATCCTTTCACTGCTGTTTCAACTAGGTTCTTTATTCATTGTAATGGTGATTTAATGTTTTGTTTCCTGGCAAGTCATGTGGTAGCTTGTGAAAAGCTTCAAAAAATCAATGTTTAGTCCTTTGATGTTTAGTGGTTAATTTGGAAAGTAAAGTTTGCATGACAGCCTTATTTACAGTATTTAAATTTTCTTTGGGGGTGGGGGCCCTACTCCTTTAAAATTCCAGTAAATGGTGAATGAATCTGACTTTAGATATAGTCTACTGGATTTGCTGGTAGTTTTGTGCTATTTGTGGCCTGTATAAATGGGAGCAACATTTGCAAAAAATCAAATCTAGAAAAGTATTGAAAGTAGAGGCACATTTCATGGAAAGTTCCCCTGACTCTTAAACTGTGCATATTACTGCAAATATAGGGAACGGTAGTCAAAAATATTTGAATTGTGTAAATAACGTCAATGTTAAATCTCCAACTTATTGGCGAAAGTGTTGTGAAACTTTCATATTTTTGGAAATTGATTTTAGAGTAATTTTGGTAAAAATTTTATGAACAGCTTCTAATAACCAAAACTGAGATTATGCAGTAATAGATGCAAGCATCTGTTCTAGACACGAAGAATAGTGTCCACAAAGTGGATATGCAGTTGGGGCCTTTATCATAAAGTAATACATGGCACAAATAATAATCATACACCATAAATACATTGGACAATGTTAATGTTACTTTCATATTGTTCCAAAAATTTATTATTTATGGAAATTTTGTAGTTTTTGTTGTAACCTTTACATCCTTGAAAATACACTTTTCATAACTGTGGATAGAATGAAATTGGTAAACAAATAAATCGATCAAAACTTTGGACTTAATATTTTTGGCAACTTCTTCTTTTTCTGCTTTAAAACTGCAGGTATTCTCTTTAGGTTAGTTTGATTAGACCATTAGGGCTTTTTCACTTGTATAAAGTATACCCTAAAGATGTCCCCTAAATCAATTATCCCTAGGTTTTTTTTTTTTTTTTTTCTACTTTAAATTTAAAAACATTGACCTAGAACTCTCACATTAGAGTATGAATGTTTTAATAAACATGGTTAAATTAAAAATGGTTCTATAATTACATTACTTAAATTCTCTGGTTTCGGTTTCGTGTTTGAGTTTTCCGATTATCACTATTTTGATTGTGCTCGGGTGTCTGTTATAAAATTCCATCGGACTAGATTTTTCTTAACTTTTATAAATTTGGAGTTGTAATTTTTTAGTCTACAATTGCCACAATTCAAATGCCCTATTGACTATTTTTTTTTTACAGAAAATATACTGAACCTATATTCTAACTTGACATGTTCTGAGAATGTTAAATTAATAATTCATTTTATATTCTGAATTAAATTTAGTTCTGAATATTAAATTATAATTTAGAATCTTTTGAAAGTTATGCTCTAATCATTTAGACAGTTGGAGCCCTTGCCTAGTTGATTATGCAAAAATAGTTTTAAAACTTGTTAAATTGTCAAAAGATGTGGTTTAAGGGTTAACTTTGCATTTAAATATCCACACCTGTGTTAAATTTTTTGGCTTTTCAACTTGTATCCCTTATGGTATATCTTGATTCATCCTGTACACCTGCTTAACATCCATGAATGTTTTGGTATATAAAGTTGAATACTGATATAATGGTTAATTTAATGTTTGTGTTTATCAGATGACACGCTAAAGTGGAGCCAGTTATGTTACTTGGTTATCGTCTAGTATGTAGTTTGGTCAAAATGGTTTTTGGTAACAATCTTCTGCCATGTTGAATGTCCTTGTATAATTGTCCTAAAGGTTGCAAAGTGTAGGTTTGTGTACTTTGTGTATTTTTGAGTAGTTTCTTTCAGAATTTGAAGCCTCTGTAGGTTAGGATATTATAGTCTACATGTTCCAAAAGGCTTTGCTTAGTTTCTAGGTTAAACTACCTATATAATCCATACTGTAGTTCATTGTACGTGCAAATGATATTTGGGAAAGCTGTAGTTATTCCCATAATACTTAAATATTATATCTTGATGTCGTAAGCAACTTGATGGATTGCCATTCTTGTTCTTTGAGGGTAGTGTATAAAATTGTGCAGACCTTTTTAGATGTTGAAAAATAGTTTGTTGGCAAAGTAGGTAATTATTTGTTCTGTTAAACTTGGTTTAAATTAAAGAATTGGCTTGGTAGTTGCAGAAAGATAATTTATGTAGTTGAATAAGTCTCTTTGTTACTATTGTGTAACTAGTTTTAATTGTCAATGCTACAAAGTTTTTCATATTGGTAATCTTTGAATCTCTTTACCAAGAGATTGGCAGCATACGAGGTGCATAATCCAGCTTTGGTTTTGGAAAAGTTGTAAAAAAATTAGATTAACTAGAGTAAATGAAATTGGAAACTGTAGTGTAGGCTTGTATGGTCCTTAGTTGAGTTGCATAAAAAACCTCTAGGTATTTATCAGAATATTTTAAAGGTTGTAGGCTGTGCCTATTGTAATGTAGCATTGATGAATGTGTCTGCCTTATAGGTCCAAACAATTAAGTTTATAATCTAGTATCTAGGCATGGTTAGGAAACATGTTCACAATTGTATAAATTGTAAAGTAAATTTTCAATTAAAATCAGTGGTGCAGTTAATGTGTGCTAAGAGTTTAATAATTGATTATGGTCCACAATCTTGAATGGTAGAATGTGCTAGTGTAGCAATTATTTCCAGAAAGTTGATAAAGTTGGAATGGTTAAAAATGTTAATATCTAGGTAACCCAAGGCTCTAAGATGTATCAGTTTTTTATTTTATTTTTTTTTTGTTACAGGTAAAGAAACTAATTTTGCTAGTTAGACTGGCTACTGTAATGATTGAGCCTGTTTAGTGGAGAATAGTGTACTGTATAGTCGATATACTCCATTGTCAATGAAGTACATAGCTGGATCTCGGGTGAATCATTGTATGGGAAAACTGGAATGTGTAACTTGTCCTTATTGGTAATTTAGTAAAAAAAAGAGCTAGCATGTTGCATAATAGAAATTGTTTGTGGTAAAATGTTCATTGCACACAACATAACAGCAGCTGTTAAATGTCAGACTAAGTGGGTGAGATTAGTGGTAAATGAAAGATTGAAGAGTGCATCATTACTAGATTCTCGCAACTTTTCCTTGCATGGTCAGTAATATAAGATTATATGGTAGTAATTTTGAGGATTTGTATACTTGTGTATTTGGTGTAATTATGTGTAGAAATGAGCTGTTATTGTATGTTTCATAAACTTGGTAATATGACCTGTTATACTTACAGCAGTTTGAATATTAAAGTAACTAAGTGCATAATTTCTAAGTTTAATAATAGAAATAGTTTTAATAAGTACAAAGTTGTTAATTCAGATTTTTTCACTTGATGGGTGGAGAAGCATAATCTGCAATGACCCCTATAATGTATCAAAATTAAATTTGTGGTAGCATATAACTGAGTATGGTCCCTTAAGTTAGTGACTTACCTTAAATAGTGATGAATCGTGGTATGAGACCTGTTGCTCTTGGGTAAAAAAAATTTTGGCCGTTTTGGAATGGGTATTAATGTTCTTGACACTGTCTTGAGACTAATTGACTAGTTACTGGATTATAATTGTGGGTGTCATGGGCCGTTGATGATTTTTGAGTAAAAAGGTGATGCAAGGTTTATTTTTTAACCTATTTGAATGTAGTTGTTTGTAAGCACTAGTGTGGTGCATGGGATTGAATGATCACTGCTCCACATTGTGATAAAATAGATTCCTGTTGCATTGAAGTTTTGCAAGTTGAATAAATGTTTTGGCAAATATTGGTGTAGTTGTAATATTGTACATTGTTAGAATAAGGATTAACTTGGTGAATGGGTGGTTATATTGCTTTTTAATCTTGGTACTTTGTTATAGCAAATGTTTGTATTTGAAGGTAGTTTAAATAATTTATAAACTACTTATTGGTAATAGTTGGCAACATAAATTTTAAAGTATTGGGCATTATAGGAAGTCTGTACCCAAATTTATGTATATTGGGATATTTAATGTAGGTGTACGTAAGCTATAAGTTGAAAGATAATAATGTTAATCTAACATGTTAGATTGTCATTGCCCATATTGTAGATAGTCATGGTAGGTCTTCTACGTAATGAGGTTTGTGATGGTTTAAGCTCTTTACACGTGGCAACAAGTAATTGGTTAATACATTTAGATCTCTGTATAGTTTTCTATTTCTTAAAATAGAAAATCCCTTTGATCCCAAAGCAAGTGCTTGTGATTTAGCATATATCTTGGGTGTAAGTTTAACTATCCTTTGTTGTATAAATATTATTCTACTGTACAAATCTCTTGTGTATACTATGAGAACTGTTGGTAATCATTTAAGTAATGATTGGTTCAAAATCCCAGTTGTGTTCTGGGGAACGTAGGACAGTTACCTGAAATGCTACACATGCTAGTGGGTGTAAAAGAATGTAAGAACTGACATTTTGTTGCCTTCTATAATTAACTTATGAGCTAAAGCTTGGTTTGCCTGCAATGTTAGAGATGCATAATATTCCCAAAGACTAATGGTGTATTGTAGTAACAATATGGGGGATGTGGGGGAGGGGGGGAATCCTGACAAGATTTATTTTGAAAAATAAATGTTTGCTACAAAAATTGTGTACTTCAAAGAACTTTGTTCTATAATTTAAATGAATGAAAGATGGTGAGGGGAAGTAGGAAATTTGTTAGTGTAGTTTTAAAATAGCAAATAAAGTTTAAAAAAAAAAAAAAGCTGTGCATAAAAGTAACAATCTTTAATGTTCCATTGACAGGTTGTGGAGGGTCCTTCGAAACAACTTCAGGAACAGCGTACAGAAAAATTGCCTCTAGTGATGCTACAGGAAGTAGCATGTTGTATGTCGGAAATATAGAGGGCAAAAGTAAGTTTACTGATGATTAGTTTAACGAGTAGTTCTTAAATATTTAGGTAAAAATTGTGTAAAATTGTGAAGGGGCCTGGAAATAGGAAAATAAGTTCTAGACCTTGACAAGTGGGTACAAAAGTTTAGTTAGAAGAATTGGTTTGAATAGCATAAAAAGGATTTTAATTTGTAAAGTGGGGTGTTTACTCTTAAATAGAATAAAATCTGATGTTTAGGGTATTTATAATTTGTTAATTGGTTTGCGTTGTGTTCGGTTAGTTTGGTTGCAAATTACTTGAGTGAGTTTTGTCTATAAATTGCACAATGACAAGTGATGCATCAAATAAATCCACAAGGGCTGTGAGGGTTCACATGTGAGATTGCGGATGTACCATAATTGACTGCGATGACAAACTAAAACTTAAACTGGGAGGCCTACTGACCTTACAGCTCCTGCATTCCTGGTTTGGTGCCTTTTGATAATTACTTGCTCATGGCTCCTGCAGTAGCTTTGAACCCTCGTAGATTTGTTCATCTAAATGTTTAACTTGTGTTCATAACTGAAAGTAAAAACTAATGATGGTACAGAAATGAAATAGACTAGTAACTGTACTTCTTATCTATAAATATAAATGTAAATGTTTGTTAAAAATTGCTAATATCCAATAGTTCTTCAGATTGCTTTGTTAAAATTTCAATGTTACATTTGCATCAGAGTAGGTTTTTATATACATATTATATTGATGTGACGTCTGTGACGGGAGAACCTTTTTTTTTTTAAATTGTTTATCAGTGTGATTTTGACGAGATCTTTGAAACCTCTTTACCAATTACTTAAGTTTTGACAAGATGTTGCATTCGAATAGGCATGTTTCTATATACATGCCTTACCTGTGACTAGAGGAATTTGTTTATTTTTTAACATTGCCATCTGTTGGATGTAAGAGCCACACACTGTAATCTCCCCAAGTTCTTCACAGATTGCTTTGAAACTGACACAACGTTCCATTAGAATATGGGTATCTTTTCATATACCTACTATATAGATGCCACCCCTGTGACAGGTAAAAAAAAATATGCATTTTTGAAAAAGGGGACCATCTGTTGCACATAACATGCTAACTATAGTCAAATTCCATTTCAATGTTTCAGATTGCATTGATATAATTAAATAAATAGAAATCTTTGAAAATAAATTTAAAGCGTTTTGTGACATTGTGGAGATAGAGCTGTGTTTACCATAACATTCATTTTGTAGGTATATAGATGCCACACCTGTTATAGGTAAAGCTATGCTTTGAACAAATCCTGTTCTAAGCAGAAACTATGCTTTTCTTGAAAGTGCCATCTGTTGAATGTAAGAGAAACACGTGCTATACTAGATGTTACAATTCAATTTAAATATGATTGCATTAATAAATTGAATTTTCATAAGTTTAGATTATTAATTTTGCTTTATTTTGTGAATTGCATTAGAAATGAGCCGTGTTTACCATACTGTTCATTTCGTGAGTACTTTGTTACTTTTTCATTTCATTTTTAACTTATATTTTAGTGATGAACATCAGATCAGTTGATGTTCCAAGTTTTCTGATCAGGAAAATGACACAATATGGGAAGTCATTGGACGAGGGAGTTGGGAATGGTGGGGATAGCGAGGGGACGGAAGTGAGAGAATGGGAAGGACAAAGGGAAGAGGGAGGGGGTAATGGTGGAAGGATGAGGGGATAGGGAAATGGAGAACGGTTGGAAGACAGAAGAGACGATGAGGGGGGGAAGACTGGGGGACAGAAGGTTGCTGTGGCCAGGTTGTGCTAGTTTGTTAAAAAAAAAAAATTGAAGTTTAAATAGGCTTTTTCTTTCAGAATATGGATTGGAAGTCTAGAACGTCATCCTAGACTTTGAAGGTGTTGATTGTTTGACATTCAGAATCAGCCAAGTGGTAAATATTTAAACATGTTTGCATTGTATTAAATATTGGTTTTAAACACTGTAGCATTATGGCTAAAGATCATCTAAATGATGGTTGCATGTAATGTGAAGTCAAAATTGCCACAAGTCTGAAGTATCTTTTTCCACTTTAATGTACTCATGACTACTCAAACTATTTAATACAGACTCTAAATAATAAGAATAATCACTGGCAAATGAAAAGTTACGTTAGACAAGTGAGTTATAGCAAAATAAATATATGATGCTGGAATATTGGCTTCGAGCTGCCACCTCCCTTAGTACACGAAAGCCAAGGCTTAGTCTACCATGAGAGATGTCAACTGCAAGGAGCACTGGAATATTCTGACTATCTGGGCCACTGCAGCCCAGACAGCAACTTGTGGCGGAGGGTGGAGGGCAGGTGCGACGGGACACCACCATCCTACCTTACTGACAGGCTCCAATATGTTTCTGTGAATAATACAATTTCTCCCACCCTACCCATCAACATTGGTGTTCCTCAGGCAGCATACTTGGCCCTCTCCTCTTTCTCATCTACATTATGACCTTCCAAATGCCTCCCACACCTCAAACCAATTCTATTTGCTGACGACACAACCTCTCATTTCCTCCATCCTGACCCCCTTGCTCTAAATGCCACAGTAAATACTGAGCTAAATAAAGTCCATCATTGGCTAACTGCCAACAAACTCACCCTTAACATTGACAAACTTTCTATATTCTGTTTTGCAATAATCCTCTAATCAATAAATCTCAAAATAAACAATACCCAAATTTGTAACAAATTAGATGGCAAATTCCTTGGCATTCTCATTGACCACAAGCTGAATTTCCAGGGACACCTTCTAAATATATAAAAGAAGTTTCAAAACTGTGGGCATTCTTTCTAAGATCAGATATTATGTACCACGCCCTGCCCGGTGACTCTCTATTACTCCCCTTATCTATCCTATCTCAACTATGGTATTTGTGCTTGGGGCTCTACTACCCAAAATCACTTACGTCCTCTAATTACTCACACAAATGCTATTAGGACAATATCCAACTCTGGCCCCAGACATCACTCGGTACCCCTACTCAAATCTCTGAATATGTTAGACATTAAGTCACTGCACATTCTCTCATGTGTGTTATACATATATAAACGCTAAACTATGCCAATCCTGATCTCAAAAGCTTCATAGAAGGTTGTAACAGAACCCATGAGCACCACACCAGAAATAAATACAGTTTTGATATCCTAGAGTACGACTTCAAACTAGAAATGCTCTACAAATCAAGGGGCCCAGAATGTGGAATGACCTTCCCAACCATGTTAAAGCTGTACCTCTCTCAACCATTTTAAGATAACGAAGCTATACCTAATAAATTCCCTGTAACCTACCTTACCCTTCTATTGTCAAACAATGTCTGTTTTTTAAAGAGCGCTGTTTGTCGACATATTGTATTTGTGCTGCTTTTTCAGCTATGTTTTCATTTCTTGTTTTCATTCTACTCATTATGCTCAATTAGTATTAAGCTTGTCATTTAAGTTTATCAGCCCGAAACGCTTTGCGTATAGTGGCTTTAGGCATTGTATGTACTAGCTCTACCTATAAGTCAACCAATCTTTGTAAAATTTATTGTATGTATGTACACCTTACCTAAATAAACATTTTATTTTTTTTTTTTTAATCAGTGACAGGCAGGCAATGGACAAGCAGTTTGCCGGTTTACGGTGGCGGTGGCGAGCAGGTGTGCCGGTGTGCTGGATACGTTTTGCTCTCTGGCAAAACGTTTTGGAGATACTTGCTGGATATATCTTCTATATTATCTGTTGTTGTTACGTACTTTGAAGGGAGAGCAGGCTCAATCTCTCTTAAAGAGATTATCGTCACAACTCCCCCCGAAGCCTGCGGTTCTGGAAGAAGTACGTCGTCATGGTTGGAGTAATAGGCGGAGTGCTTCTACTTCATAAACTCTGGAGAGGGCATCGGCTATGATGTTGTCAGAACCCTTGATATAGCGGATCTCCAGGTTGAAATCTTGTAGATATAAAGCCCATCGTAGAAGACGCTGGTTAGTGAATTGGGCTTGATGTAAGAAGCGGAGAGGGTTGTGGGCTGAGAAGATGTGGTAGACCTGGCACCTTGTAGGTATGGAGCGAAGTGTTGGAGATTCAGGACGATGGATAGTAGCTCCTTTTCAATAGTGCTGTAGTTCCTCTGGTGGGGTTTCAATTTGTAGCTGTAGTAGCTGACAGGTAGAACCTCCTCGCCTCGTTGCTGCATCAGGACACCACCAACGCCAGTACCACTGGCGTCGACATGAAGGACGAAAGGCTTGGTGATATCTGGCGAGGCGAAGAATGGGATTAGAACAGAGGAGGAATTTGAGTTGTTCGAAAGCAACGGTTTGCTGCATGGTCCAATTATACCGTTGCTTGGGACTGGTTAACATGATTAAGGCGTTGCGACTGTACTGAAATTTCTCACAAACCTACGGTAGTAGAGGCAAGACCAATGAAGCGCAGGAGCTGCTTCCTGGTGGTAGGCTGTGGATAATGCTGGATGGCTTGAGTGTGTGAGTCTAACGGAGCTAGGCTGCCACCTCCCAATACATGACCCAGATAACGCACTTTACCTTTCGCGAAGGTGGACTTGCTCAGGTTGATGGTGAGGCCGGCTGTCAGGAGCTTGGCGAACAGTCGTCGCAGCTGGAGCAGATGTTCACTCCAGGTGTTGGATGCTACGACGATATCATCCAAATAGGCGTACGTGTTATCCAAGCCCTGGATGACACGGTTGACAGCTCTCTGAAAGGTGGCCGGGCATTACATAGTCCGAAAGGAAGGCGTTCATATCTGAAAAGTCCAAAGGAGTGATAAAGGCAGATATTTCTTTGGCTCGCTCCGTTAAGCACACTTGGTAATACCCCTTAAGCAGTCCACTTGGGACAAGTCTGGGCATTACCAATGGCGTCAAGAATGTCATCTATCCTTGGCAAGGTATGCATCCTTGACAGTCACATTATTTAACTTACGATAGTCAGTGCACAGTCTCACCTTACCTTGGGGTTTTGGCACCAAGATACAGGGTGAGGCCCAGGGGGACTCACAAGGTGTAGCCAGTCCATGATCCAAGAGGTACTGCACCTCAGCACGCATGACTTCCTTCTTGCTAGGGCTGATTCGGTAGAAGGTTGACGAATCGGCCGGTGTCGGGGAGCAGTTGGATGTCGTGCTGGGTAACATTACCCTCTTGGGGGTCATCTCGGAACAACTCCTGATGTTCTTTGAAGATCTTGACGAGAGATGCACTATGATTGTCCTGAAAATAGTTTGGAAGATCAGTAAGGATTTCCGAATTAGAAAGCGCTGACTCCTTGTCAGTGCTTTCGGGAGGAGAAGCAGGGAAGGTCTCACTGTGGATGTATGTTTCTGTAAGGCAGAGTAGTTAAGCATGACAGTGGGAGGAGTACCGTTATATAGCTTCAGGAGGTTGACGTGGCACAGCTGGGTCTTCCGCCGCCTATCTGAAGTCTCTAGAACGTAGTTATGGTTGTTTCTGCACTCCTTGATGCGGTAGGGTCCTGAAAACTTGTTTTGTAAGGAGAACCTGGGATAGGGAAGTAAGCAAGTACGAAGTCTCCCGGCTTAAATTTCTTACTTTGCTGGTCTGGTCGTAATGAGTCTTCATCCTCTCCTGTGCTTTCAATAGATTATCTTGGGCAAAACTGTGGACTCTCTCTAGAATGTGTTGAAGGTTTTGAAGAAACTGGGGCACATTCTGATGCTCACTGAAGGTGGCATCACGTAGAGAGTCTTTGAAAGCCTTGAGGGAGTACGGCACTTACGTCCGTAGAGCATCTCATAAGGAGATACTCCTAGGGACTCATTGGGAAGACTTCTATCGACTGAGGGTGTACCCTCTCGTTTATTATCAAGCTACTCCTTTGACCATGTGTTGCATGGCGGTGGACTATTTACATTTATGATCGTTAGTTTATCATCCTGATTGCAGATCTCTAGTGCTATTATGTCAACTTCTCGTGGATTGGCAAACATTTCGCTTACCTTTAGATGTTCTTCTTGCACAGCAACGCCACCGCCTTTCCTAATTTTCCTGTCTTGTCTCAAACTGAGTAGCCTCTTGGATATGACCTCATTTAAAATATCATCTTCAAGTTTCGTCTCCATGAGTGCAACAATGTCTGGCGTCTGCAGCTGTATTACATCACTTAACTCCAGTATCTTTGATCTCACTCCATCTATGTTGGTGTATGCAATTTTCAGGAACACGTTCCCCCTCTCCTTATTCTTCACTCCCCCCTTTCTCTAGCGATTTTGTTGGTTTGCCTTTTTGTATCATTTTACTGGTCTGCCTACCCTTATTACTTTGTAGAAAAAAAAAGAATTGATTTCTTTTTCATTCCTGTCCTAATTTAGACGTTTTGCCTCGGCGAGGTTCAGTTTCAGCTTCTATGTCTTCTTTTAAATATTTTGTCTTAACGACCATAATGTCCCTTTCCTCATCACTTTATAATTTTCTAGCATTCCTTGGTACTTCTTCCATCTGTTTTGTACCGTTTAGGGTGATCCTCAAAGGTTGATCTTTCCCTTTACGTACTTGCCAATCCTCCTGTAGTCACAGACATTCTGTATGGTAGTAAGATCTTTCCGCGATTGCTGTAACTTTCTTGATTTTTTTATACATACATTATATGAAAATCGAGAGGAAATAAACACAGACATAGACTCGCTATCACTTCAGACGATCTTAATAGTTTTGAAATGGTCAAAAGATTGGCAGATGCAGTTTAATGCTGGCAATTGTAAGATTTTAAGGCTAGGTAATGATGATACGGTTACAAAATATGAGCTAGATTTAAGGGAGCCGGTCGGCCGAGCGGACAGCACGCTGGACTTGTGATCCTGTGGTCCTGGGTTCGATCCCAGGCGCCGGCGAGAAACAATGCAGAGTTTTCTTTCACCCTATACCCCTATTACCTAGCAGTAAAATAGGTACCTGGGTGTTAGTCAGCTGTCACGGGCTGCTTCTTGGGGGTGGAGGCCTG